GGGAAATACTGCTGCTGTCCTCAGCCCCAGCCCCCCTCACCTCCCCATCACTGCTGTTACCTCATTATATTATTATGTATAATATATACTATAATTAACACAATACTTAGAAAATACATAAATATAATCTATAAATTTATGTAATATTACATAATCATATAATTGTAATTAATTACTATATCATTAAGCAGGCTGAGACAGGGTGACCACCCAGCTGCCAGAAAGCCGCTGTGTGTCCCAGGGGTGTCCCCACATACCCGGGGGGCTGCGTTCTCCAGGTGCGTGGTGTCCACAGCAGTGCCCAGCGTCACAGGGCCAGACTCTGCCTTCTTCAGGTTCTCTTTCACCTCCACCAGGCTCAGCTCCAGGTCCACCCTCCGGCTCTCCTTCTTTTTGCACTCCTCTTCTATCTCCTTCAGCCTCTGCTCCAGGATCTTGTCTGCAAAGGGAGGGATTGCTTGGTGCGGGTCGGTTCCTGGGTGGCCAGTGCAGAGCTCGGGTGGACACCAGGTACCGGTGGGAGCTCTGCACTGCACCTCCTCGGCACGCAGCTCTGGGGGGCTGCAGGGGACTTGGGGAGCTCGTGAGGGGAGCAGGGACTGGAGCATAGAATCATAGAATTGTTTAGGTTGGAAAAGACCTTTAAGATCATCAAGTCCAACCCTTAACCTAACCCTGCCATCCACCACTAAACCATGTCCCTAAGCACCTTGTCTTCCCGGCTTTCAAATACCTCCAGGGATGGGGACTCGACCACTTCCCTGAGCAGCCCGTTTCAATGCTTGACAAATGCATGGCTTACTCCTGTACATTTTTCTTGTATCTTGCCCCTAAGGGATCATGACAGAGTGAGCTCTTACTCTAGTGTGATTTGGGCTACGTGGTTTGTCTCAGAGCACCAGGTCTCTCCACACTGGAGGTCCAAAGCCCCTTCTGGTCCCAGGTGGGCTAGGTTCATCACCCTCTCCTTTCCCGTGGTCCTACCTTGGCTCATTTTCATGCATCACCTCTTGCCCTGCTCTACCTGTGCTGCCTGCAAGCATTTCCTTCCCCTCCCGCCTCTCCCTGCGCAGCTGGGTGAGCTGAGCCCGGATTTCATCCTTCTCCTTCTCCAGCCGCTCCTTCTCCTCTGTAAACCGCTTCACCTCTGCCTCCGTCCTGTTCTTGCCCAGCTTGGTTTCCACTGCTGCTGCTGGAAACACAACCCACCAAAACAAGCTTAGCCGGGGGAAAAGTGGGAGGGAAAATGTTTTCAGGAGCTTGGAAACAAAACAGATGAGGCTTAGGAAGGTCACCAACCAGGAGATGCATCAGGCCCCCCTGGGCACCACAAAGCTACCATAGAGCAGGGCAAAACTCGCACCTGGAGTACCACCTCTCCCCCAGCCCCTGCAGCAGCAGGCACCCAGTGGTGCAGCCCACTCACCCGGCAGCGGCAGCTTGGGCCGGTGTGCGGGCAGCAGCTGGGGACTGCCCCCCGTCACCGTGCCTGCCGTCACCGTGCCCACTGGCAGCTCGGGGGCCGGCTGGGGGAAGGCGATGTTCTGCTGCTGCGCCTGGATTTTGATGGCGGGCATCCGTGGTGGTGCCTCCTCGGGCTCCAGCTTCTCTGGGTGTTTCTGGGGGGGTGGGAAATGAAGTGGGATGATGTGGTGGGGGAACTGGCTCACTGATTAAGCCTGGTCCCACACCACAGTTCAGGACGGTACCTGCTCCAAGGTCTCCGTTGCCTTACTGCAGGGCTCGGCTTCCTTAGCCACGGGGTCTGTCTCAGCTGGGCTCTCTGCTGCAGCCTTGTTGTTGGCAGCCCTTTCTAAAGACGGTGAGCTGAGGGGTGAAGGCTGACATGACTTCTTACCAGCACAGTGTAGGAAGGATTTCACCGGGGTGAGATCCAGGTACACTCTGTCTTGGTCTCCCTCCAATTTGCTCTCGCTCTTGGGTACTTCTTCCTGCAAAAGGAGAATGTTCCCCTGAAAAGGGACCGTCTGCTGCAGCCAGAAGTACAGGAAACATCTCACTGCAGAGCAGCAGCAGCATCTTGGGCAATCTGGAGTATCTTCCATAAACCTTAGAGGAACTAAAACCCCATTCTCTAAGTCATTCCATACAGGGCTTTTTGGTGTACTGAGGGACAGGCTCCTCCTGCTCCCCTTCAGTTGGTCTTTCCAGTGGTAGGAGCAGCCCCACGCAAGGATCTCACACTGTTGTACATCCAGCAACCCCCGGCAGATGCTTTGCCTTTCCCAGGGTAACAATCCCATCCCCAGCATGGCTCATCTTTCTTGACCTTACACACGGGACTTGCTCTCGCAGGCATCAAAATGAATTTTGATAGACCAGGCTCAAACAATCCACTATCTATCACCAAATAATCCATGCTTTTTGCTGAGGGCAACTCTGGGATTTTATCCCAGCTGCCTGAGGACCCCAACAGCACCTTGCTGGAAACCTCTCACCCATTCCTTAGCAACTCCTCTCCAGCACCCACTTCTGCCCCGCTGCAAAAGCCTGGATTTCTCCGGGGGCTGGGAATCCCCTTTGCTGCAGTCTGAAAACCCTCCCCCTTCGCTCCTGGAGATGCCCCCCAGCCCCATGTTTGCCCACGGTCTCCGCAGAGCAGCGGGGCGGCTGCCTGCAGCACCGGGTATCTTACCAGCGGCGGGTCTGGCAGATCCACGTCATCGTACAGCTCCTCCTGCTGCACCCTGCCCTTCGGCAGGTTGTCGATGTAGGCGTTGGGCTCAGAGTACTTCCTCTGCATTAAGCTGTGAGCGGGCAGCGGGACATCCCATCAGAGGGATCGCTCTCGCTGCGTGGCTGCGCTGTGCTGCATTTTGGGGCATCTGAACACAGCGGTCCTGGGGTCTGGCAGGGCCACACGGCCAGACGCAGGAGATGCGAAGGTAGAGCTGTGCAGCAGTGTGATCGCTCCCGTTGCCCATTAAGCAGCACCCACCAGAGCGGGGCCATGTTTCCCCTCAGCTCCTTCCTTTCTGGCCCAGCCCTCGGGCACAGCCCCGCAGCAGCATGACTGCCTTGCCCCAGTGGAACCATGAACTGTGTGGCTGGGTGTCCATGGTCCCACACCCTCCCAGCCAAGCCCACCCCACCAACCTGCCTTTCCAACAGCCACTTGGGCACGTGCCTCTAGCCCCACGGCAAGCTGCAGCTCAGGTTAGATGTGTCATGGTGGGACAATGACAAGTGCTCTCCTGTCCCACACTGAGCTTCCAAAGAAAGAGACTGAGCCACAGCCGCAAATTTGCCACCTATTCCCATGGCAGCCAACCTCCTGCAGGTGGAGGGCCCCCTGCTGTGGCTCGCTCCCCCTCCCCCAGACCCTGCAGCCCCATGCGTTACCGCTGACGTACAGGAAGGAGTTCTTCGCGGCGCTCACAATGCAGGAAACCCGGTCAGCATCCACGTAATCGTAGGTAAATTCCTCCGGGTCGGTTTTTGAACCTGACTCCGACAAGAGGAGGCCCAGCCAGTGGCCCATTTCTTCCGAGGACTTTGCCTATGAGGTGATCGGACAAAAGCACAGGTTGTAGGAGCAGTTTCTCTGCATTCCCCAGGGCTAACGCAGGCAGTCCTCTGGGCTTGCGAGGGGAAGATGAACGGCCGGGTATTTATATTAAACCTGAGACCGCGTTTAAAGAAGGAAGAAGTACTGCTCTGCATGTGGACTGATGCGCAAATTTGGAAGATCCATGAATGCAGCTCTTCGCTTAACGCCTTCCTACAATTTCTAGTCAGTCTGCATTTTCCTTTCAATGGCGATCAACACAGCTGCCTGCAAGAGCAGGTCTCTGGGGCTGGTGATGCCAGCGGGGAGCTGGCTTTGGCAAGGAAAAAATGCGGGTTTTGTTTTGCACCAGCAGAGCGCAGCAATGGGATTGCCCAACACAGGCGCAAGGAGACCCGAGCACACCAGGGAGCCTGGGAGTTCCTCACGCCGGAGCCCAAACCCCTTCTAGGGCTGTTTGCACAGGGGAGAGGGGAAGGGAAGAGTGTAAAGTGGGATCAGAGAACACCAAAGAGGGAGCCCCTCATTTTAACATGATCAGTACCAAATTCCCAGCTGCAGTGAACAGTCTGACATTTTGCAAAACGAAGAGTTTGTTTGGTGCCTCGAAGTCAGCTCCAGCAAAAAGCCACAGGCACCTCCCAGCAGCGGGGGGTTTCTACCTGAGGCAAGAAGAGGTGGGCTGATGCAGCCAGCTTTTCCTTTGATTTGAGGAGTTAGAGCTCTAAGCACAAAGCAGCAAAATTCAGGGCAAGTGAATCCCAAACTGGAAAGTATATTTTAAGCTTTCAATCTGTTTTATTTAGCAGAGACTTCAGTCCCTGGGAAGGCCGCCAGCCAGCCAGTCTGTACGTTGAGTCTGACATCCCAACAAAATACAGATTCTTCCATTCACAAAATGTAAATTTTCCCAGCACCTCTTCTTCACATCTCTAATTAGGCAAATTTTCTTAGACCCAGACATACCCTAATCAGAAGCTAAACACCACCACCTTCAAACTTCATGGCAGGCCCTCAGAGTCAGTTGTTTAGCTATAAATATTCCACCCACTGGAAAAAATACAGGAAATTGCTCACATTGTCCACCTCCTACTATAATCACGCTGTCGTCAGAGAGAACTAAGATTAGAGATAAACAGTCCTGGATGCAGGCAAAGGAAAGTAACAGATGGAGATGAATTCACTTGCACTTTCAGGGGCAGATCTGTGGTTGGTTTACTTGGGATGCATGACCCATGGCTTTGGGACTCTCTGTTTTCAGAAGATGAAGGTCTCTGTTCCTCCTAACCACAGACATAATCCCTGAAGTGGCATTCCTCTCATCTAACATTAACCATCTGAAATGCATCCCATATAACTTAATCACCCAAGGTTATCCTATAGTCAGTGGAGAGAGATGGGCATCTCCAGAGGACCCTTCATCCCATCCTAAGATGATGGTCCTCTGGAGAATCCAGCATCAGGCACAGCCTGGATTACCAGCTAGGTGGGACACCTTCTAGGTGACCACAGGCAGATGAACCAAAGTCCCACAATTCAGGTTCTGTTTTGCTGGACTGAGGATTCATCTGGAGGACCTCACCAGAATTTAGGCCTACTAAGACATCCAAGCTGATGACTTAAAGCAGAAGCTTTCTTGGAGACAGACATACACCCTACCTCCATAACAACCCGTTCTTCCCCGTTGTGCAGGATGCGGAAGGAGTAGAGATGATCCGGGCTTGGCTCTGGGATAATTTCACAACCTGCCAAACTCAGGGGGTGCTCAGCCAGTTTGCTTCGATTCTTGTCCTGGTAGAAATGGAGGTGACCATCTTTTATCTGACACCAACGGGACTTCCACTGGCTGTTCACTAGCACATTCAGGTAACCTGCAAGCAAGCACACATTACTTAGGCACATTTTCTGCCCCACGGGGAAAGGGAATCCAAACTTATCTGTGCACATGGGGAAGTCTGATGGGTAAGTTCCAAGATCACCACGCAACACAAAGCCACGTGCAATGACAAAGAGCAAAAGCACAAAGACAAGCTGTCCTATCCATATGAAACAGGGTGAAAAGGGTAAAAATCTGTTCAAAATGAGACCCTTGAAATTCAGGTAAGGTTTGGAGCAGCAAGTTGCCTGCAGATGGTTGGATAAAATTGGTCCCCGGTGGTGAATACCAGCTGTCCCACACAACTCTCTCCCTGCTGACTCCCACACCCTGGCCATCAGCAGCACAGATGCCTTCTGCGTGCACCTCTGGTATTGCCTGCCCTTCCTCTTGGGTCACCCCGTGAGCTCTTGCCCACCCTTGTAAGCCACACAGTCACCTTAACGTGCAAGAGGCAGCACAATCCGCATGGATTTACTGGCAAGGACAAGCAGACTGTGGCCTCTTTGCCTCCCCCAGCAGACAGCCTGGCACACGCGCGTTTGGGGAGGACGATCATGGTGCTCGTCCTGCTCTGCACACCGAGATCCGGTCCCGAGACAAGTCCCTGCAGAAGGACTCATGCTGCCACTTACTTGAAGTCTCCAGGGATCTCTCTGGGCTATCCAGGGAGCTGGATTTTTTCCTCCCGAGGTTCATCAAGTTGCTCAGTTTCAGGCCGGTTGTGCCTTTCTTTTTGACTACCAGAAAAGAAGAAGATATACCCGTGGCTTTCCCAACTCACAGCCATACACACGGCCGGCTGTCCCAGCTGGGTGCCCTGCCCCAGAGCTGCCTGCATGGCCGCCCTGCACCAACAGCACTGCAGCACAAACCTCCCTTGCAGAGAGCAAACCTGCAACTCGGGGACAGGCTGTCATAGTCCAAGGCCCAAGGAGATGATGAACAAGATGGCACCAGTAATCTCAGTTAAGTGCTTTGCCAAACACACTTAATCTGTAACGCTTTAAACTTGGGTCAGTTCTGACCCAACGCCAGTCATGGCTGCGGGAAGGCTGTTTGCACAGGTCTTGCTGTGCAGGTGCCAACCTCCCTTCATTTTCTTACACTACAAAGAACTGAATTAAAAAACATTACCCATAAATATTTACTGCATTCGAGTCTTTTCCTTTCTAAAAGAGGGACTCGAGGTGGGGAGGGGGGAAGCTCATGCCCAAAGACCCTCTTCAACATTTTCCTACCGAGCACATCAGTCGGTGAGTGAATATGGCTGTGTAATTGCCAGGTAATCCTGGTAAGAAATCAAGTTGGATGCTTTTAGGCCAGCTTTTCTTGCCCGCTATCATAACAAAATGATGAAGGCCTAGCACAGAGGGACTCAGCAGCTGAGCTCCATCTGTTGGGTGACTCCAGTGACTCCTCAGCATGGATTTCTCTTTCTCTCTCTCACATATGTAGATGGGTCCCACCATCCTTCTAATAGAGCATCTCCTCTTTTAATGTAATTACCTGCCCCACCTTATAGATGCTTAATGCAGTGTAAAGCCCAGAGCTGGATGCCCTAGTGTGAAGGCCACTTAGGTTGGCATTTATGCCATCTCAAACTGTCCCCAAGTGACTTGCCCAGAGTCACGCAGGATCTCTGTGGTAGGGCAGGTATTGCATCCAGGTTTCTCAAGCCCTATCCTAACTCCGTAACTGCTGAGAAATCCCAACATCCACCTGTCACTTCATTATGGAAAAAAGCACTGAAATAAAATTCAGAGGCAGCTAATTCACAAGCAGCTTTCACCCCACCTCAGGTCAGTTTGAGGTGGCAGCGGCAGCAGAAACTGCAGAAACCCTCACCACATGCAGGCTCGATCCCTGTCATCCCCCGGGTGAGGTTTTACCGTCTTTTGTCTCAGCTGTCTCCGGGTGGCCGTCCGTGCTGCTCCCACTCTCGGAGGCTGCGGAGCACCTCTCGGATACCTCCACCTGCCAGCAAGCACCAGACACAAGCTCTGCAGATGCACGTGACTCATTCCTCCAGCCAGCACCCGATGCAAATGCTTTGTTCCCCCCTCCTAAATTCTGAGGTCCCACCCTCTCTGTAGCAGACGCTTTCACACAGATACCCCACTCATGCTATTTTGGGCGTCCACCAGTGACTTGTGAAGGTTTCTTTCTCCTCCCACTGTTTTGGAACAAGCTGCCCCCAGGGCAGCGTCACCTACACCTGGACTAGAGACTGGCCCAAGCCCTGGCGTCCAAGAGTCTATGTCCCTTCCAAAGCTCTTGGTAAGCGCAACTGTCCCGTTGGGTGAGGTAGTGGCTGCTGCCCCGTATGGAGGACAGCCCAATGCTGAGTCAGTTTGGGGGGAAAGATGTGGCAAGAAGATTGAGATTGCAAAGGAAAATTAAGATTGTTCCAATAATGCTCCTTTCCAGTGGAACACGGGTCTGGTCATACTCGTATCGGTCTTTGCTCAGATAAAATTACTGTGCCTACAACTATTATTTTTTAAAGGAACAGGGTGGAAAAGCCTAAGTGCTAGTTCTCTCTGTAGAGACAAGGTGTACCTTTGGGTAACTGAGACGCTGTGAATCTGGGATGTACTGGTTGCCTTCACTGCTTTCGCACAGCAGACCGCTGGTCTCCTGGATTACCTGTGCGGAAGGGGAAGCCATAGCCTGTGAGTGAGCTGCCGTAGCGGGATCAATACTCCTCCCCCTCCCAGGATAGGCAATACCACAGCAGCCTGGAAGACCCACGGTTTAGGCCTCCCTGCGACCCCAGAGACTTCCCTGGTGTTGCAGCAGGCAGCCAGCAGAAACTGCCGGATCCAAGCCAGCTGGGGAGAGGCTGCCAGCAAAGGCAGCCTCGGCGCCTTGCAGCCCCGCTGCCACCCTAGGCTCCACAGAGGCTCCCTCTTCTGCTGCCATCTCGGGGAAAGGGCCACATCTCCCCCTGCCCTCAGCCAATTCATGCTGGACACCCACCCTAGACGTCCCTCCTGCCGCAGCAGCTGGGCTGGGAGGTCCCACACGCACAAGACAGCAGGGAGCTGCAGGAAGAAGCTATCTCGGGACACGAAAATGAAGTGGCAGATTTGTATATGGGCTTGCAGCGAGGAAGCGAGCCAGAGCACACAAGGACAGGACTGAGATAAGATACGGTCTCCCAGCAAAGCCAGCGTAGAAGCATGGGAACACTCGTGGGGCAAGCCACCACTGACCCTGAGCCACTGCTCTGCCTGGTCTTTACTCTGCAGCCCCAGCACGATGACATCGGCGTTCATGGGGATGATCTTCAGCTTGTGCTCTTTCTTCCTCACTTGCTTTTCCTTGTGAATGACAGTGCAGCCCAGCAAATTCACGTCGAGCTGAGGGCTGTGGTCTTTGGAGCTCTTGTAGCACTGGGGAAGGAAGATGGGAGGGCAGGTTAAGAGGTGGAGGTGAGGAGGAGCCTTCCCTCTCGCTCGCTGGCGTGAACTCAACCCTGGAAGTGGCTCAGTGTAACCACACGCATTAAGTACACTCAACACAAGAAGGTCCTACAGGTCCTACAAAGCTGTGGCATCTACACAGACTACACACAGGACAACTCTATATGTAGAGAGATACATGTACATCTACGTGCATGCATATACAGTCTGAAATACCTCTCACAGATACTGCTAGAGGGTCAGGTATGTGGTTAGCCAGTGGGATAAGCATCCCTTCTGCTTAACCACCTCAAAAAGTTTCCCCAAAAAGCACCTCTAGCCATTTTGGGAGTTTGGGATTTTGCCACAAAAATGCTCCCCTCAACAGCCCCATGCCCACGTCCCTTCTGAAAATGGAATGAGATCCCCAAATCTCATTCCAATCCCCCCAAATGGGACACGGCTTTTTAAGCACTGCATCTAGAGGTACTTTGGTTTTGCCAGCTAGTTAGCATGGCCCGAGGTGCCACGTCCCTCCCCAGCTCAAGAAAATAGGTCGTTTTAGGCAGAGAGCAGAGGATCTACCCACCAGCAACCTGGTGTCCTTGATAACACACAGCTGTTTTGCCCACTGTCCCAGCCACTTCTTTCTCCACAGGAACGCACAGATGCGGGCATCCTTCATCAGCTCAATGGTGGCTTCTGTGGATGGCCACTGATGGGTTGCTGACTTGCCTTTGCTGGTCTCTTCTTCATCATAAGATTCATAGGAGCTACTAACGGCTTCACCATCTTCTATAACAAAAGCAAAGCTCTATCATTAAATACATTTCTAGGACGACTCTGAGCCCATTACTTGCCTCAGCCATGCTCATAACATGCAAAAGCTTCCAGTGTAGGGATGTGTCTTTTGAGGCTCTCCTCCAAGAGGATAATCAATAGGAAAATAACCCTCATTGATCCTTTTTTCTTTCTAGCCCAATACTGATCTCATTGCAATGTTTTGTGCTTAATAGTCTCAGTTAGCAAACACTCAAAAGACACTTCTCAGCTGACCACAGATTTGACAGCCATCTCTTAGACATCTTCCAGTGTTTGCTGCTTCCCACCCCACCCCTCCACCAAAGATGTTTTTGCTGCTTTCCACTTCAAGCCAAACAATCTCAGTTTTTAAGGCAACAGCAAGCTACAATAAGTCCTTGTCCTCTGAATGTCAGAAGTAAAAATGGTATTTGCAAGGCCATGCAGAAAGCAATGATCTATTGTATTTGAGACGTCATTCCACTCTCCCATTCCGGGTAACAGGTCTCTCTCTGCTCAGCATCTAAGGGACAGCAAAGGGCTTTGAAGTAATATGCTGTGGCAGCAGCAAAAATTAGCCATAAGTGGCAGCTGTAAATAACAGTAATCACTTTTTTCATGTTCATTCTTAAATGGATTGCTACATTATTAGGATGTGTTGGGATTTTCAATACCCAGCTCTAATGTATTGTGGGTTATTGGAGTTTTCAGCTGATAGGAACAGCTGGTGAGCGGTACCAGACTCATCAGAAACGATGAAAATGTTCCCACTGACTGCAGGGGAATTTGCAATGCTCTGCCAGCGTGTGTAGTATGGCTCCTATTTGCAAGTTAAGCTTACATAGCGAGATGGTAACATTTGGGCAGCATTTGTGTAGGGCTTTGCACTCTTGTCCTACCAAACAGCACAGAGGAATATCATTAAGTTTCTCTCACCAGAATTTAATCTGATTTTGATTCTCATCAAATCTTAATATCCACATAAAGGTAACATTATCAGATTCGTGCAAAATAAAAAGAGGAAAAGCAGCCAGAAAAGAGGGGGAGAAAAAAGCATTAGGAACTTCACTGAAGAACATTTCTTAAGTTGGGTTTATTTGTTCTTAAAAATAAAAGGAACTGAGATGCAGTAACAAAGCTACAGCCTTACCCGCAGTGAAATCTTGCTCTATAACATCCCTCAAGTGATCAAAGCTGCACCAATTAAACAAACTTATTAAAAAGCAAACACTCCCTTTTGAAGTCTCTGAATGGTGCTGGCAGCACACTGCTGGCTCACCATCTCCATACCCTCAGCATACTGGACTGTCTCTCCTTTATGGGAAAACATTACCCCCAATACATTAGCACTGCATTATCCACAGGCACCCTGGGCAGAAATCCAGATGGAGTAAAAATGTTGAGGTTTCTCATCCCTAGAAATACCAAGAAGCTGAACCTCTGCACTGCTAGCAGCAGCAGCAAGGATGCCCAAGGGAACCTTATCTTCTAAATCTCCCTCCTTGTGAACATGGGGCTATTGCTAACTGCCCCTCTGGCCCCCTTTGGGTGCCTCTGGTGCCCCTCACCTAGGCAGTAGGTCTCAGGCTGCCACCTTTCTCCTGGGGGAATAACACTTCTCTTGTATGCTCTTGGTGGGAACCCTGGCTGCTCTTTTGCGCATCAACCACAACCACAAGGGCCTCATGAGAGAAGCTCTTCTCCACTTGAAGAGCTGCAGCCGTTGCCAGCCCCGTGCCACAGCTACAGCCCCATGATGGAAAGGCGCTTTTCCAGGCTGTGTAGTTGGCAAACTGGACAAACCTTGCTTGGGTGACTTGAGACAACACCGTTGCCACTACTAAGGCTCACTCGATCCCAGGTCATACAGCTCAGGCACTTCAGTACCAGGTCTCCATTTCCACCTACCGGCAGTTTCATCATGACCACAGTTTTATCCTCTCATTACCATGGCAGCTGTGTTCTTGGACATCTTTATCTAATCCACCTCTGCTTTCCTGTTTGTCTTCCCACAACCTCCCAGGGAGCTAAATCAATACCGTGACACAAGAAGCTCCAACCATCTCGCACGCCAGAGCTGCCTCTGCCCAAGCAGGGCACCTTCAACATTCTCTGAACAGCCACTTGTCACTACAGCCAGCGTTACCACGTATCAGCTCCACTTCAGTGGCCAGAACCAGGGGAATAAAGGCCAGGGAAGTTCTCTTCACTGTCATCTTGAGCATGGGGAAAGGCACACAAAAACGCTGCCTTGTGTATATCTCCAGCAGGGGCAGAGAGAGGGGAGAGGTGGTTACCCTCCATGCATGTAATGGCAATACCAAGGAGAGGCACTTGATCACCTTTGCTAAAACTGAGGTTTTAAAAAAACCAAAACAAACCGAAAAAAAAATGTATTTCAGGTTTGGAAAGCATGCCATACCCATCGTTATTGTGGCATAAATAACGCCCTCAGTAACCTGCAACCCTGGCTTGGGTCCAGCCGCAGCAAGCCTACCAAACAGACCTGCACAGCCAAAAGGAAAGAGAAAGGGAGACAAAGAGAGAAAGGCACAGATCAGCAAAGGCAGAGAACAAGGGCAGCAGCCCGGCTCAGTCCCACACTCCCCCTTGGCCGGTGAGGCTGCCCCGTCCCTGCTGCCAACGGAGGAGCCCACCATAGGGTGAGACTTCAAACTGGGACAACATTTTCAAGCCATCCCCTCAAACAAGGCAATTCCCTTTAAAACAGAATCATCATCATCATAATTAAAATCAGCCAGGGCAGATGAGCTGTTTCAGCCGGAATAATTACTGCTCAGTTAGCAGTCACGTTGCCCATTGCGTTTTCACTTTGTTTCTTATCGCACCCTTCAATTATGCAAACGCAGCCGAGGACGATAACGCTTTAACACATTTCAGCTCAGGAGGAAGGGGAAGCAGCAGCATTTGCCAGAGCTGTAAAATGAAAGGCAGAGGCGTCCCCAGCGGAGAAGCGGGAATCCTGTTGATGAAAGAGGGACCCCGAGACCCAGTGGTCTCGCCCGCCCGCTTCATTTTAATTAATTCACCCACGGTTCGTTATTGTGCCTCGCAATCCCACCTCTGATGCTGCACGAATCCTCTATCTCCTCAGCCCATCTGGAGGCTTGCTTTGATGTCCTTTCTTGGCAGCACACCCACTAATTTTAGTGATGTTCCTATTTTTGTTTGATTTCACTACGCCCATTTGTTTAGAGGCGCATGGGTTTCTTCCAAGGCTCGGGCTGTAATTCTGTCAGACACACGACCAGCAGCTCCCTGGACCGAGCACAGTGGGCATGGGGAGTTACTGGGGTCAGGCTTTAGCATCCTTGGCCAGGGCAAACCCACGCACGTCCAGGCTGCCCTTTAGCCACAGCAGTCACACCAAGGTCTCAAAGCAGTTGCTAGCAACGAGCATCACTCCATGGAGGACAGGTACGGGATACTATTACAATCTCGTAGGACAAGAGGGGAAAAAGGGATGGGGATCCCAGTTTTGCACTCATTGAACCAGCAGGAAGGACTGAGATCTGCAGGTTTGCCCCGTGTGCCGTGGGATTTGGAGCCTGATCTCTTGAGGCAAAGCAGGGCAGCAGCAGCTTCCCAGCATCGCTGCCTGACCGCCCCACTGCATGGGATGCCACGCTTCACCCCCTCCCGAGCCCTCCGCAGCCTCCCCGTGCCACATACCCACTGCTCCACGTCCCTCCCCGCTCCTCCTTCCCACTCACCCCAGGGCACCACCTCAAACACAGGGTTGCCAAAAAGCAGAGAGATTCTCGGTGACATGATGCCACCTTCCTTCTGACGCAAACCACCTTAGAAGCCGCCGGCGCTGCAGCACACCCGGTGGTTTGTGCAGAAGAAGGGACCTGCTGGGGCCTGCGGAGGGGACCGGCGGTGGCTGAGCTGTCACAGGAGGGGACTGCCTGGGCTTGCACGCCCCACCTCTGCTCGCTTCACGGGCTCCTGTCTCCGCTTACCACCGCGATACTGCTCGGTCAAACACCGAGCCTGCCAGTCAAACAGCTATTGATAGCAGCCACAGACTGCTCCATTTTGACAGGGCTCCCATCATATGGTTTGGGGTTTTTTTTTTCCTCTTTTTTCAACCATGCTTGCAGGGCTCTGATCTCTCGCTTCCTTAGGCATCTGACTGGCCTGGATTTCCGTGGATGGTGGGTGTATTTGCATCTTTGAGCAGCAGGTTACCGAGGAAAAGTGGAGGTTTAAGCTGGGTGTGTGCTTATCGCTCCTGCCAGCCAAGGCTCTGAACGCAATGCGAGTTTAGGGAGCTGTCTGGATAGCGTAACCTGTTTTTTCCCAGCACACAGATCCGTGGCCGTACCCCAGCTAATCCGGCATATGTCTTTACATGCCATGGCTTTTATCGTGTTATCCTCTTTCCCAATGTGCAGCGGGGGGGGAAAAAAAAGTCCATTTATCTTACAGTGCAGGCAACTGGAAACACCGTGCGGGGACAAGGCTGCAGCGGCTGCGGGAGGGCTCCATGCCCCTGCACCCCACTGTCACAGCCCTGTCCCCAGCCAAACAACCCAGAGTGCTTTGGCAAAACTGAGCTGGCACCTAACTACATGTAGCAGAGCTGGGGGGGACATCTCCTCTGCATCAAACAGCACGTGTCACCCCGGCCACAATGAACCCGAGCTGGGTGCGATCTTCCCATTCACCACTGTAATGAAGTTGCAGTCAAAATGGGATGGTTCGGAGAAACAAAGATCTTCCTATGCCTCCCCTGTTTGTTTAGCTTTGTGACTCCTAAGCCTTGGTGAGAACAGTGAGTGACCCAAGCTGAGCTGAGAGCGGCCCAGGTCTGCAAGGTGCACGCACGCGGCGAGGGCTGCTCAGATCCAGCAGCCCCCAGCCACTTCGAGCAGCGGCGCCATCGGCCCCTCCCTGCCAGGGAGCCTCAAAGCCCAGCGGTGCATGCTGGGGCTGGAAAGGACTCTGCTTCTCTCACGAACAGCTCAGATTTGACAGCCGAGGGCTTAGATCCAAATCTTTTACCTCTTCCCCTCTGTGGCGGTGTGCTCCCCCCTCGTCTCTGACTCCCCCCCTCCTTTGACCTCTTTCAAGTGATAACCACCTGTGCTGGTGGCGATAGATGCGTCTGGTCTGTGTCTGGTCGTGAAGGATGCACCCACCGGATGTGGGGGATGAAAGATAACAATACAATAGGCAAGAGCTATTGTGGAATGTGCCCATCTAGGCACAGTGGCCAGTATGCAAATATGACTATGAGCCAATCATCTTACCCCCATAAATAGTGAGCAGCCCAAGAGCCCTTTGAGCTCTCCTGCATGGCAGTGGGCTGCACGCCAGGATCTCCCCTTGAGCAGGGACGCCGCTCAAGGTTACTCCTCGAGGTTGAGAGATTCCTTACCACGACAGATTCTCAGTAAGTGGCTAACAGCATGCTAACTTGGAAATCTTAGCTAAGTGACATAAAGGATTAATTGCGCATATATAATTCTTTAGGCATAAACCATTGACTAACTCTGGGACTAGGATTGGATCCAGCCACACCTAGACTCCTCTCTGAGGGAGTTTAGAAAGCAAGGGGATCTTTTCTGAACCTCATGACTCAAGGGGAGGGTCTCCCTGACAGTTTTGTCTGACCCTGTCCTCTGTGCAGTAAATAACAAAGTGTACCTTGCCATCGAATCTTATAAGCTATTGTTGCATTTATCACTGACCTCTGTTAACTCACTGTTTTACACCAATAAACCACATTATTTTTGCCTCCCTCTCACTCCATCCGCAACACCCTCTCTGCTTGCCGGGGTGCTCCCTGCTCAGCTCTGCCCCACGCCACGTACGTCGCTGCACCCCACGCTGCTGCAGTCGAGGCTGATGAGCAGAGACCCGCTTCTGCAGCCGAGCGATACAATCTCGCTCATTTGGGCTTAAACGGATTATAGAGCGATGACAAGATCAGCTCTGCTATCAGATCGGAGGAAGGTAATCTCTCATGGAGGGTGTTCACCAAAAGGATGCGGGGATACAGCTTAAAAAGTGAGACTCTGGGAGCTCAGCCTGGGTGCAGCAGGGGTGCGGAGCCCACGGGTGACAGGTACCGGTGGCACTGCCGGGGGTGCCCACCCAGGCACCGAGGGAGCGTTCCCAGGGGGAACCCGCGCACCGGCCCCTCACGTGCAGGGCAGCTTGTAAATCAAGTTTACAGATGGCTGCAGAACTGCCACGAGAGACGTAGCTGAACAAATAGCCAATTATAAAAACAGTTATCGTGTCGAACAGACCAACCATCACGGATTTTGAGCCCCAAAGGAACAATTAGAACGCGAGGACATGAATGCAAGCCACCACAGTTTCACCACTCACTCCTTAATAGAAACCTGCACTTGACTATGGCCTGCGTTCCAGAAAACCATCCAGACAAAGAGAACCCACAGTCGTTTATAATATTTCACAGTGATGTTATACTAACCCAGGCACACTACTAATTTCTATAGGGAAGTTAAAAAATTGAGTTATTCAGTAGCCTTTTCTTTCCAACAAGCATTCGATCTGTAATATCAAGCATGACCAGCATCAGAAAACAAATTTATCCCACAAGCTGTAAGAAATGTCCACGCTTTCGTTTACTTGTTCTCATAAACCTCAAGCCCTCCATCTCCCGCATGCAGCCCCCCGAGAGTTAGCTGTGATATACCATTTACGGAGACATCATACGGCTCAGCCTCTTCGTAATATCCCTCCGGGGATTCGACCTTGGGGGCCAGGGGTTGCTTTGTTTCAGGAATCTGCAGAATAAATAAATAAAAGAAGCATGATTTAAGGTAAAAACAGATACTTGAAAACAACGGGGCATCCTTTTTATTGGCGCTGAAGTTCATCCTCGTGGATGAGCCCTTTTAGATGTGTACACCAGGGCTTTCACATAAACTGGCTGAGATGACAGGGAAGAAGGAGACTGCTGAGGGTTTCCAGTGTACAGTTAGCTCAAACATAAAGGAGTTCTTTGAAATTACTGTAAAATTGTGCAATAGATATTATTTGCTTTAATTTTGTCAAAAGCCCAGGGAAGATCAACTCACATGTTTCCTCAAAAGCAGCAGTTGCAACCCTTTGGCCTTACTGTGAACTGGGACTTCTGCCCGCCTGCCCCCCCAAGCTGCCCATTGTAACTGGGGATGATCCCCTGTGCTTTTGATTATCTTCGCAGGGAACCAGAAGGGTGGATATTCGGTGCAATCTTGGCTTTACGCTGAAAAGCACAGCCTGAGCGGTCACTGGTCAAGCCTCCAACTCTCTGCCTGATAGCAAACCAACAGCTAAAAATCTCTGCTTTAGGAGCTATATTAAGAATCTTTAATTGTGCTCTGAGCAAAAAAATGAAGGAAATGGATAAACAACTGATGGAAAATAAGCCTTTGAAAAGAGTCCAAGTGCTGGAAAATCCCTGTGGTGCTTGCAAAACCCCTCCCTAAACACAAGCAAGGGTTGGCAGGAAAAACAGTGCCTTGATCCTTTAGAAATACCAACACATGAGAGAAAAAAGAGGAAGCTAAGAAACAAACTTTTTACTTTTCAAGTAATTTAAGTGCACAGCTTATGCTCTTCCCAAAATACGTGGCATCCCATCTCCCATCATGACCCAACAGTAGTGTTCCCCCCTTTCCCCAGCAAGGTGTCCCCTCCCCTCACCCAGGTCAAACCACCCCCAGTCATCTGACAAGGGTAATGCCCTGGCTCACACCGCTTCCACTGGCTTCTGGCTGAGCCCTGTGCAAATCCTGGACAGGACGCTCAGTGTGTGCAGGGCTAAGGCCCCACTCCTCCCAGGAGCACAAGCAGAAGGGCAGGTCTTTCTCTGCAGCAACATTGAAGGTCATGGATCATGCACAGACCTTCATGCCAGCCCGTGTGATTGCTCCTGGTGGCCTGGAGAAGAGGGTGGACACCAGCACTGCAGAGCTGTCCCTTTGCAGCTCATGCCAGCATCTTCAAATGCAGGTTCAAAGCTGGCCATGCTGCCCTGGGTATTTCCACCAGCAGGTACTGCTGCCCAGAAGTAGAAAGGAAGCTTTGAAGGAAAAGATGTTCTGGCCAGCAGCTGCCCATGAAGGGGGATGCTGCTGAGCCCGTGGCAGGTAGGTACCCTGACTGAACGGGCCAAAATCACCCATCTCTGCTCCTCTATGGGCAAGCGGCACGTGGCTCTGCCAACCTCGCAAACTTCTCAAGTGTCCTGGATGAAAGCTCCTTCTTACATGGGTCTGCCAGATGCTGTGAGCAGGCTCTGAGCTTGCTTTCCAGAGCCACGTAGGGCACACTGCTGGAAAACACTTGCCTCCAAGCACTTAAAGATTTAGGAACTTGTCCTAATGTGTTAAATTAAAGAAATAAAAACAAAGCCAGCCACTCCAAAGCTTTACTTAATCCCTTCCCCTGGCCAGGGAATGTGTCTGCAATTGCCATCTGTGGTGGCCTCCTGCGTGTAGCCAGCTCACACTGTGCTATGACCATAAACAAATTGTCTACACAAAGAAACGCTGTGGGTTTATGTGACGCTGTCCCACAAGTGTCAGAGAGGAGGCGGGGGGGGGAAAGGGGCTGCTCTGTTTTCTTTCCTACAGACAATGGAAGCCAGCCGGGACTAGGTGGGTCTGCACCTCAGCTGCCCCAGAAGTTATTTTTTTCTCTTCTCTTCTCTTTCCTTAAAGGCGTAGAGTTGTTTTGTCTCTAGCTTAAGTCAAAGAGTACATGCTCCGTTATCTAACCCAGGCTGGTCCTCACAAAACATTTGCCTGTTGCATTATGGCACAACGGAGCATGCAAATAAAACCATCTTGGGCATCCGCACCGCGTGACTCTCTCAGTGGCCGGCTGCGGAAAGCGGCAGAGCTGCCAGGGCTACCGCAGATGAAAGGTCACCGATGTCTCAGCCACAGCCCGCGGGACTCATTGTTTAAAGGTTGCTTTGGGACAAATCCAAAGAAATTAGTGGGCTCCAGCTGGGCCACCCCTGTTGGGTTGCCCATTGACTGCTGGCATCAGTGAATACCAGGGACAACCTGCTGTGCAGAGCTTTATCACCAAATTTCTCCTGTGCCTCAAAAGGCAAGCGTAGAGCAACACTGGGGTGCCTTAACATCACCAAAACACAGCAAACTCCACAGAGCTAAAATAGATATATTCTGGGATCCTCTCCTAACCACCCCGTGTCTGGGTAAGGAGTCGCATTCCCTCCTCCATCATCCAGGTGGCCATGGCTCCTGCCCGCGCCAGGAGCAACAAACACGGACAGGGAAGATTCATTTCCCCACAGCAGCAGTTCCCACACGCTGACTGGGACCACGTTAAAGCTCTCCCCAGCCCCACTCCTTGAAGTATGCTCAGATATCCTTGCTGCCAACCACTCGCTGACACCCAGATGCTCTCAGAGAGGAGGTACTTGATTGCTTTATCCGAAGGAGGTTAGCTCCAGTGGGAGAAAGCAGTGCCCAGCACAGGCCTGGGAGAAGACAGATGGCCTAGGTACCCTTCTCAGCTAACACTCAAGACTGTATTTTTTCCAATTCCCCCATTTAACTTCCCGATTGCCCTGTCAGAAAGCTGGGCTGCACTGAGCACAAGCAGAGGTGCCTTGGGGACACCCAGCTGCTGCTTCCCTGCTCATGCCTTCATTCCGCTGCACCACCATCCTCCTGCCCACCTCCCTGCCACTGCCACCACCCCCAAAGCCAAACAGCGACTCCTGCTCCGGTCGCTGCTCCCAAGTGACCATCCCTGTCTGGCTGCGTGGGCAGAGCCCCCCCCGGGGCTGGAGCAGCTCCCAGCAGGCAGCCGCGCTGCATCCAAGGGTTTGCTGGCTGCATCCCGTCCTACCCCCTCATTTTCCCAGCTAACTCCAGCTGAGCCACACAGCCCCCTGGGCAGAAGTCCTGGGGCCTCACCCTGCATCCTCCTTCCTGGACCCCCTGCTCTCCCTTCCTTTCACATCCCAGAATCCCAGCTACAGCGATTCCCACGTTGGCTCAAATACTGAACAGCAACATCCGGGGGCTCGAGGGTGACCTGCATCTCTCGAGGACAGCCAGGCTGGCATGGAGCCAAAATCCCACTGAAAGCTGATGGTGTTGAACTGGACCCTAGCTAGATTTACAACTGGTCCCTGACCAGATTTATAGCTGCCCTACGGAAAAATCTGCAGTGCTGATGCCTCCTCCTCCTCGCAGACCTGCGGGCTGTACAACCAGTGCAACGCCTGGCATGTGTGCCCGATGCACAGACACCACCAGGCGCTTCAGCTAGAAGCAAAACCTCATCTTCTCTGCTCACGCTCAAACTCTGCGGGGCTCTGCCGGCGAGGGAGAGCCTGGCCCAGGGATCGCCCCACCACCTCGCAGCTGAAGGATTTCTGGCTTTTATAAGTTCATGCCAGCAGCCCAGATACAGCTGCTTTACATCTTGGAGATTTCCAAAGCTGAGAGCCAACCTCACCTTTGTTTCTTTGGAAAACCTCAGTTCTCTTCATTCTTTGAGCCTGGATTGCCATGCCGTGGGTTTCCCTGGCAGGGAACACGGCCCGTTTTGCACAGCACTCCTGCGTGCGCACGGGAAGCCCAGGGCTCCCGCAGCTGCCTG